TTTTTTTTTCTAGAATAATCAGAAAAAACTTGAGTTTGTGAAATAATTATGTTTTAACGATATAAGAAATGTGAAATTGCTACGTTTTACTGAAGAAAGAGATGGTTGAAACCAAAGGCAATGTGCTTTTGTCTTCCAATTTATTTGTGAAAAAACACAAACTTCACTTTGCACTTTTAATTATGCTCCATCAAAGAAATGTCATGTCCAATCGACAATCTTTGGATTCACAGAAGGTCTGATTCATACAAATTATTTAATATAACACCTTTGCATTCGTATTTCTTTGGTTTCAACCATCAGTTCAAGCATCAAGAAGAGCAGCACTGTTTTTCGGATTGATATTGATCAGCTTATGGTTTGCACACATCCAACAATGCATACAGTAACACGGAAGATCGACTCTAAATTTGGGAAGAAAAACTTCCACTTTTGTAAAAAAAATTTAATTACGAAAGAAATCACCAAAAAATTTCAGACAGATTCAGATGTAAAATGCTAGATATATGTTATCCAGTTAAAATTCAAAACACTATATTAAAGGATTATTTAAATAGAAGATAAAGTTAGCAACCAAAAAATGATTCCTTGCATTATTAAAGATATACAATCTTAAAGACAAGCTTACCTCCTGAATTCTCGGCCGTTTTTTGGCTGGTTCAGGCAAAATGGGTTCCTTCTTGTTTTCACCTGCGGAATCACCCGAAAACATCAAGTCCTGACAGATACACTAAAATAAGGGGATTATATACTGGGTGTTATTTTAGGAAGTGCCATACATGATACAGTAACTACCGTGCCATAAAAAAATTAATGGAAGCATTGAATTTTAGCCGTAGATAGCTGCTGTAGTTTTGATGATGATCGATAAAACATGAAGAAAGTTGAAGGTTACAATCGTTAGAGTGACGAAATCTGCACTTCTTGAAAATAGTAAATCAAAATTGACTTGGAAGACTTCACACACTTTAACTTCACTCAAAGCTATAGATCTGTGAAAAGAAATAGAGAAACAGGTCTTACTCGCGCAGTCCTAACAAATTTATTTAGCAGCAACGTGCACACAAACGCAAATATACACATACTTAACAGTCTAAGCTAACTATCAAAAGTCTTCAGAAGTAGTGATTTGCACAGCTGTTATATTTGTACTGATAGGTTACTCAATGAAATAGAACGGTAATGCAACTGCATCTCAACTAAAGCACCATATTAACTTCTCAGAAGAGTCGAAAGTCTGTAGTGGAAATTATCATAACAATATCTGCTTATCATCTGCTTTCCTGAATGCTCAAAACCCTCAGCAGAGTCTCCCTTTTTCAGTTTGTCTGATTAAACTGTCATCTTTTACACAAAAATGGATAATAGCCAAATTTGATTTCACACACAATAACAGCTTTCATCCTTTGCAAAAATCAGTTGAGCGAAATACTTGGTTCATCCAACATGAACAAACAGATCGAGTCATTATCAATGGAATAGGGCAGAAAGTTCTCTGATAAAAAGCATAGGAGATCACAATTACCACAAAAAAATAAAACTGACCTAAACCAATTGTTTTTTGTCCGCACTCTGCCTGCTCGTAACGCGCTTTCCGGAGTACTGCGGACAATTCTGGAAATGGATGGATGAACGACTATGAACTATTTATATTGAACTTTGCTTCCGTATCTATATCCCAGTTATGCAGTTCTCAGAGAACGAATTTCTCGAATATAATTTCGGAAAATTCAACATACAGAGTGTCCCATCATCCTCCCACGCAAACTCCAATGAGAGAGGAAATTAATGACCAGAAGAATTCACTGGGCCTTACCGCACTCCCACGATCAATCCCGCACGCATCGCAACGCATACTGACCGCATCACACCGATTTCCCTACCGCAAGCGGAGCAGTCGTTGCACGTTTTCATTTTATTCTTGCAGCTCAAAAGTACAATTTACTTATGAATATTTTTTGATAAAACGTTGAATGTAATTTTAAAGTTGGTGAATTCTTTTCATACTCCCCGCTATTGTCAAATTCACGTATAGTACTGATAGCTAACGTTAGCCTGCTTTCGATATGTTAGAAATTGGGCGTGTCCTTTTCGTTCACTCTTTTCTTCAGGCTTATTTTTGCCGTGCAATGATTATAATTATGTTTTGTTTGTTTACTTATTTAAGTGAACTTTTCTGTGAAAAATCCTCCAGAAAGTGTAACAAAGTGTGCTGATGCAGTCAAATTTTACGCTTTTCCTGTCATCAAAAGGTCGTTGAAGCGTGAAATGAATGAATGAACAGAAATAGAACTCAATGATCGAAGGGCAATTCGAGTTCAGTGATCTTAACAATTAATCAATAGGGCGAGCAATTTCTTAGCATCATGAAAATTTTTTAAAGATTATAGACTTTATTGTTGAATTCTGTAAATATACAACTTTTAGTTCAGATCTGAGAATAATCGTTGGTTTTAGAAATGAAATATTTCCATTGCTCATAATTTGGTGAGAAAGCCTATACTGTGTAGCATTAGCCTTTTATTAGATTTTCACTTTATTTGTCTTCGCTTTCAGAGCACTTTACTGTTCGAAAAAAGTGATCTGTAAATTTCTACATTTATTCTTGCAATATCCTTTCATGCAGCATTCAGAAAACCCAACATGTGTTATTTTGATATGGTAATCTAAATACCATTCATAGATTGTTTATTAGTTGTATGAAAGATTATGCTTCTTTTGCTTTATTTCATGATTAATCGCCAAAAAAGAAAAACAAAAAGATATTAGAAAAATTAAATAACATAAAATTGGAAGGCGAATGCAAAAATGGATTAAAAAATTAGTACAGAAAAAAATTTTTTCGATGAAATTTGAAATTATCCATTCTTTGGTGGATATTAATTCGTAGCTTTTCAGTTTTATTCGCTTCAATTTGATAGCTGTAAAGGCTACAAATGAAAGACATAAATGAATAGCAAATAGTGCAATCATTTGACCTTTTTCACCTATTCAAATGAATTCCATGCTAAGGCCTACAATAAGAAAAAAAATTCATTCATAACCATGACTTAGCAATTAATTAACTTTAACCGTAGTCTTGCTAATTTGCTTGATAATTATAATAATGAATTATAATTATGAAAAATATGTAATCAGCCAAGAATGATGAATTTTTCTTATATGGGAAAACACAAAAAATTTTCAAATTAAAGTTCAAATTTCTATGCATTGAACTGTAAGTTGCAAGCAGAAATAATTTTAAGGAAGGAAATTCAAGAAATTCAATTTATCATGATTTTATTGCTTTCAAAGAGAAGTACGATGATTCAACGGAAAAATGAAAATATCAAATGCAAATATATGTGAGAATGTTTCAATGAAGAAATCCATTCAAAGTAGATTTCAATTATACTTATAAAATTTACAAATCGTTAATATAAATGGATGAATATACGCATTCTGGTTATTGTTATTATTATTTGAATAAAATTCTGGCATTCGGGAATATGATTTATGAACGAATATTGTTTAAATTCTTCATTTCTTCGTTCACATGAAGTGCTGAAGGGATTTCCTGCGTTATTAATTGATCTACCGGAACATTCTGATTTTTCTTTATCCAGCTCTTCTGTTTTGAAATAGTTAATGATAATCTGATTGTATTGTCTGATTATATTATCATCTCTTATCATTATAAGCTTGTAACAAAAGGTGCTTATCAAATGGGTATATTGTCGATCGATTTGTGCTAAATAAAACGACTACATAATTTGATTGTTGTTTTTGTTAATTTCAAAATGACAAATCAAAATGATTTGTTTTAAAACTACAATTATTTGTTTCATTAAAATTTTTCTCTCATATTGCTTTTAATGAATGTATCATCGTGTTGAATAGCATCGCTGAAACGTATTGTTGCTACATGCACATATTTTAATTCAGGAGAAAATCGAAGAAAGCACTTAACCTTATTATAACTAATATTCAACTTTTCGCATATGTGCAGCAACAAGTGATAATTAATTACTTTTTCATTATCCTCAAAATAAAACTTTTCCATGACTTCATTAAATTTCCTAAATGAAGCTTACTTAATTTAACAAATTTAATGCATAATTTTTATGGAGTAGTTATAATTACTAATTAAGTTTTACAAAGTTGATTGGCATAATTATGCTTACATGAAATAAGAGAAAACAATATAAAATATCATGAACGATGATAATTTGAATGTGGTAATGAAACAAGCTATGTTACTAGTAATTCCATAACATAAATGGATAAAATTCGGAGAGTGGATAGATTTGGAATTCTGGAAAATTTCGAATCTATGAATAAAATTAAAAAATTTGCATATAAATTTATGTACAACTTATGAACAAAATTAGAAAATTTGCGTATATGAATGAATACAATTTTTTTTATTACCAATGAATAAAATTAGAAAATTTGCATATAAATTTTATTTATTTATGAATGTATTATAAAAATTTTGCAACTTTGATGCACATTATCAAAAGTAACTTGAGGTCAGCGGTTGATACTGCAAATTTTTTTATGTTTTGCCTTGCGAAGAATATTTTGTTAGTTCATTACAATGACTGCGGAACATTTATTATCCGTATTAGATGAAAAATGAAAACAAAAGCATATGCGAGGAGGTTTTTGCATATGTTTTCAAGGATGAATGTTGTAAATTAATAGAATACCAAAATCTCATCATAACACCAAAATTGAATTTAGGCTTTCAAAGCAGTTTATTCAAAACACTAAAAAATTAATTTAAGATAGAAAATAATAAATGTAATATTGTAATAAATATTAAAATGATAGGAAGAATTAATTAGTATTTCTAAAGAGTTTTAACCTTGTAGAAATATTTGAAATCAAAATTGTTTCTTTATTTTTGAAATTACAATGATTTATTTTTGAACAAAAATATTTAGCGTCATATTTAATTAAAACTTATATTATAATCAGAGTTAAGTATTTATTTCTCTTTTCATATATTTAAGAGAATGATAAAATATGATAAAGAAGATAAAGGGAAAGCGCAGTCGTCAGAAGTGTCAAAGGGCACCGAATTCAAGATATCTGATATACAAATATGCGGCAACTATGTGGTTTACCTGACTGTTGTGTATTTTTTCATGGTACTATCACAAGTATGCAATCTACTCTTCATGACATTCGCCGGTTAGCTTTTCAACAGTATCATCTTCTTATGATCGTACTCGTAACATAAGACGAACTTAGTTTCTATACAGTTAATCAAGTTTAGTATTATATTAAAAGTTAAAGAATTAATTAAAATAAACTTATTTAAATTAAACTATGGTGAATATCTTAATAAAACATTGTCATCAAAACATTTTACAGTTCTTTAAATAAGAACGTAAATCGGCTATAAGAATCTCTGATAAAATTCATAGGTTTTTTTTATTTTTGATTTTGAATGATTTTTTTTGAAAGATTGAAAAATTCTGGATGACTCTTCCAAACTAAAATTTATCAAAGTCACAGAAAAAAAAATTTTTTTGAGGCAAAAGAATTTTACAAAAGTAGATTAAAAAGTAGAAATTTAAAAGTAGATAATGTTATTGCAAATCTTGCGATTTAAACCTCGAAATTATCCTTTTAAGTGTAGCAATGCAAATGTTTTAATAAAACATTGTCATCAAATAAATATTTTCTTTGTTTAAATGATTCCGATAATTTCAAATTCCGATTAGATCGAAAACCTAAAGTGGAAGATGTTTGTGAAAAGAAATATCCCGATTATATATCAACAAAAATCTGTAACGTAAGCAACTGTTGGATAACAACAAATGAAAGTGATAGCATTATATGTTCCACAATGACTTATGATTTTATTCCAATAAGTCATGATGTATGACTTTTTTCTTTTACAATAGTTTTACTATTAGTTCAATTATACCTATTTCTATTAATTATGCAAATTAGTTTAATTATACCTTATTAATTTGCAAACATAGCCTATTGATTTCTTCTTCAATTATTACAATCATATCAACCAGAGGGATATATTTCAGTATATTATTTTGCATGAATATATTAATTTGTTTCAGTTTCTACGATTATCATAGATCTTATTTTTTTTGACAGCTTATTTCATTTCGAGTATTTTAAATTTTAGTTTGATATACCAGTGGAATATGTTAAATTGGGCACAACAGTACAAAATATTGGCTTAATGATTGGTGCTATTGTAGCTGGCAATCTCGCTGATATTTTTGGTAGAAAGAAAGTAAGCATAAACTTCATGTATTCTGTTAAGTAAAATCAAATCGAGTTGTAATTTACTGTATTTTATATTAAAAATGATATTATCTTTGGAGATACAAATGGTACATGATTAATTTTAAAAAGTCGAAATTTTGAAAGTTTCCTAAAAAAATGATACAACTAAAATTACTGATTTTAAAAAAGGAATTGAATATTAGGTATTGCTATCATTTACTGTCGGTTTGATAATATTTCTTATTGCTACGCCATTTTCGCCATCCTTTATTGTCTTTACAATTTTTCGCTTCTTCGATATGATCTTCACTGGTGGAAAGCATTGGTAAGCAACGATAAATTATGATAAATTATTTGTTTGAGCTGAAATTTGTTTGCCATATAAGCCTCTAAAAATTCAAAATAAATTTCAAATATTTTTTTTAAAAAACAATTCTTCATAAACAATTTTTTGCTAACAAATGTTTACAAACAAATTTTCAAGCTATTAAATTTTTTTTACCAACAGGGACGTGTTTATATTTTTGCAGTGTTTGTAATCCGTATTTTATGGAAAATTTACCGGACAAGCATCGGATGTGGCTAGCGACCGTAGTTACGTATTCACCCAATTATATTATCTTAGCTGGCATCGCATACTTATGTAAAAATTGGAAAATTCTATCATGGGTAGCTGCTGGCATTGCTGTATTACCTTTATTCACGATACCGTAATATTTTCGTTTTCAAGAATATTTCTGATTTCCGATTTTTCTTCCATAATCCCTTTTAAAATGATTAATTGTTAAAGCTATGCATTAAAAGTTTGTGATAATCATATTATTAATAATATATTTGAAGCAAAATTTTCAAAAAAAAGTTTTAAAAAATAAATTATTATTGAGTGTAAAAAAATTAAGATTTCTAATGGATACACCACGATGGTTGATAAAAAAAGGAAAAGGTAAGGAAGCATCAAAAGCAGCTGTTTACATTCGGAAATGGGATGAAAAGCTTACACCGGAAAAAACAGAGAAAATTATCGCTGTCACTGAAAAAGAAACAAAGGAAGAGGTACGTGATCAGTTCAAATTGCATATTTTTTTTTACATTAACCGCCTATTCATTCATTTTTTTTAAATTTAATTTTAGCTAGCAAAAATGAAAAAAGGAAAGAAGAATTATTATTTTTATCATTTATTCAGCGACTGGAATCTTGGTAGTTATGCCGTGGTATTTGCTGCAAGTTTGTAAGTCATTTACATATCCAGCCATATACTTCCTTAAATCATTTTTCAATCTAAATTAAATCTTTCATTCATGTGAAGGAGGAAATTTTGATGAAATTATCAAAATGATATTATACAATTATTTAAGTTTAAAATTTATCTGTTTACTTGTATTATAGATTTTCAACAAGTTTTATCAGTTATGGTATCGCATATAATATGGACGCATTAGCGGGAACAGTTTACATTAATGTTATTATTTTGGGAGGTGCAAGATGGTCCATTAATATATTAGCTGCGATGCTTGAATTTTCAATTAAAAGTGTTGGACGACGATTACTTCACCTCGTCGCCGTTGGATTCATTGCTGTTACGATGGGTGTTATTTTTGTCATTTATATATTTACATGTATGCTATTCTTTCTAAATTATAAAAGAAAAGTTTGAATGTTGCACTATTAATACTTTAAGACGGCTTTTTTGATGATACGTGCGTGATACGTTATAAATAATTGTGTTCCAAGTTATGCATATCAGTAGAATAACAAAAAGATCACTTACTTGTAAAATTTATTTCCGCAAAAAAAAATTCTGAATGACAATTTAATGTAAAATTGTGCAGATGAAAGAAAAGGATAAAAGAAAGAAATAATAAACTCAAAAAGATAATTTAATCAATTTTTTAGGGCCAAAAATTAACATCTATAAAGCAGTAGTGAAAGCTGGTGGAACAGGTATTCAAATTTTTTTTTGTATGTATCTCAAAGTTATTAAAATTAATCGACTGAATTCGTCGCTAATTGATATGTATCGTTGATTGGATATTACCTGAGAGTAACAGGTAACATATGTAGAATTACATGTTGATCATATCATGGCTATTGGCTAGTAAAAATATCAGTAGCCTATCAGTGGATAGGTAGAGCAAATGAATTTACCTGTTGGAGCATTTAGGCTAGTAATGAAAGAAATTTAGGTGAGGAATCGATTCACGCGGTCATTATGTTCACACGATATGCTTCCCTTTTGGCAGCGGCTATGTGCACCGAAATATTCGTTCTGGACTCCGTACAACCAGCCGAGCTATTCCCAACACCGATACGAAGTGCGGGAATTGCTTTCATTCAAACATTCAACCGTTTAGGCACCATTGTTAGCCCGCTTGTGTTTATCCCGGTTAGTGTATAAAGCTCAGTATTTCTTAGCAAAAAAGCAATTTAAATTATCTTCTAGAACTTACATTATTGCTATCATTCTATCGTTACCGATAAGTAGCGGTGCGGGAGAGGGATAATTTTCCTTGAAATGATATTAATTAAGCTGTTACCGAGTAATGAATTTGTGATTTTACCCAAAATGGGAATGAGAGATATCGAAAACATTTCAGAGTAAGCATTGGCCGCCAGCGCCATTCCTTTTAATGTTTATAACAAGCGCTGTGGATTTTTTGCTCTATTTTTTCCTGGTACCCGAGACTCGGGGAAAAAAACTACCGGATAATATGCCAGGTGAAGAGTTTGACCTCCACGAGGATAACACTCAAAGCACGGAATCCACGACGAATGCAGAAAGCCATCATTTCGCATCACAGAATGGAAAAAAAGCAAAGAAAGAAACGGAGACAAAAACGGGTGAGGATGACGAAACAGAGAGCGGAAAGAGTGAAGACAAGAAGGAAAAAAGGGAGAGTGTAGGAAATGAGGAAAAGACAGAAGAGAAAAAAGAAGAGGAAAGAGGACAAAAGAGCAGTGAATAAAAGGATGAGATAGGGTAGGAGGGGAATGGATGATAGCATTTCAGGTGAATATCAAAATCATTAATGTCATAATTCACTCATAAATGAAATAAGCTATTTGTATTATTGATTGATGCAATAACACCCCGTGACATTCAAACACACAGGTATGCAAACAACATTAGGGATAGTAATGCATAAGCAAGGAATTTGCCAATTTGCACTCCTGGCAACAATCTCGTTAGAAGCAGTTTATAACCTCTGACCCATAACCCGGGAAACGATTATCGTCAACGGATTTCCTTTTTATGAAATTGATTTCTCCTCTCTCTCTCTCTCTCTCAACATATAAAATTAATTAGTGTATGTATGATGTGCTTCTATTGTTTCCATTATAATATTATTTAGTAAATTTTGATAAAAAAATGGATAATTAAATCTGGCATATTTTTTTGCTATAAAAATGGCGATGGGCGCATTTGACCATTGTCTAATGATTTATCAAGCGGAATGTATTAATTGCAGAATAAATGTCGCGAAAGTCGCGAAATTTCAAGAATATTATAACTGGTCAAGTGTTTACACATATATCCATAGGTGTAATATTACTGTCTTAACACATGTTCATAGCGTCAATTATAATGTGCCCCTTTAAACCAATAGTACAGTCAAATGATTCATTTTGTTGCATATGCGTTCCCATCCTTGCCTCCAATTATTGTATTGCATGATCTCCCTCTCTTTTATCTCTCCTTATTTTCCCGCGCTATGTACTTTGCCTATATAAGACATCAAATCCTCATTCAT